TCACCCTCTCTGATAAATCAATGGAAAAAATATCCTTGGGTGAGGATTAACAAGAGTCAGTATCAGAGTGACGTGATATAAGGAGGACCTGACCAGTCATTGCTGGCTTTAAAGATGGAAGGGGTCAGAAACCACAGAATGAGAGGAGAGCAGTAGCTGAAAAAGGGCAAGAAAAGAGATTCTGAAACTGTGACATCACAGACTGTGTTGTTTTAAGCCACTAGCTTTGTGGTGATGTGTTACAGCAGCAATCGGAAGCTAATACACTAACAAAGGGACAACAATTAGACACAGCACAAACTATTCAGTGCCAACAAAGGAATCTCGAAGAAACTGAACATGTACAGCAGACAGCTCTTGAACTGTTAACCTAGATTTGTATCCCTAGGAATACTCTCTTTCAAAAATAGACACATATCTGAGACACATTCAGACAAACAAAAACTGAGGGAATTTATTCGCAGGAGAGTCTCACTAAAAGAACTTTCCTACAGGCTCCACATCAGAAAGAAAGGACATGGTCCTCTAAGGAAGGCATGAAATACAGGAACAGGAGCCCCCACTGACCAGCTGAGGAGGATGCAATATCCGCAAACAATAATCTCACCTAATATAGTCCATCTGAATCGAGCCATGGGCAAACAGGCACCCAAACTGAGGGCCAGTCTGCAACACACCTGGTGTGGAGCCTTTTAAAATGTGAATGTCCAAATGCCTAGAAAATACATGATCTACCCAGACTGACTCATGAAAAAAACAGAAAATCTGAAAGACCTATAACTAACTATTAAGGAGGTTTAATCATCATCAAACACCTCAGAACAAGGAAAAGCCCAGGAAGCAGATGGATTCTCTGGTGGATTTCACCAAACATCGAAAGAGTTAATAGCAATCCTTCTCAAACTCTTCCCTAATACTGAAGAGGCGGAACTACTTCCCGGCTCATTCGATGAGGCCAGCATTATTCTAATACCAAAGCCAGACAAAGACACTCGAGGAAAACTACAGACCAACATTTCTTATCAGCATTGCTGCTAAAACCCTCAACACAACACTAGCAAAAATTACTGTTTAATAGGCACAGAGTTTTTGTTTGGGATGATGGAAGTTTTGGAACTGCATAGTGGTAGTAATTGTGCAACACTGTGAATGTTTAACGCCACTGATTTATACACTTAAAATGATCAATTTTCACTGACAAAAATTAACTTAAAAACTGCAACACTGTGAATGTTTAACACCACTGATTTATACACTTAAAATGATCGATTTTTACTGACAAAAATTAACTTATAAACTGATACTCTCTTAGATGAAAGGAAATTAAAGAGATATGGTAACTAAATGCATAGCAGAATCCTTGATGGGGTCTGGAGTGTATGAACAATAAAGAACATATTGAGCCCTAGCCGATTTGGCTCAGTGGAATAGAGCGGACTGAAGGGTCCTGGGTTCGATTCTGGTCAAGGGTACATGTCCCGGTTGTGGCTCAATCCCCAGTAGGGGGCATGCAGGAGGCAGCCGATCAATGATTCTTTCTCATCATTGATGTTTCTATCTCTCTCTCCCTTCCTCTCTGAAATCAATAAAAATATATTTTTTAAAGTTTTTTTTTAAAAAAAAGAACATATTGAAACAATTAGGGATAACTGAACATGGAGTGTAAATTAAAAATAGCATTGAATTTATATTAAATTTCCCATATCTGATCTTGATATTGTGGGTATTTAGAATGTCCTTGTTCTTACAAAATAACATGCTGAAGTATTTAGCAATAAAGTGTCTGCGATAATGTCTGCAATTATAATTCAGAAAAAATAAAAAGGGTGTGCATATAGATATGCAGTGCAAAAGAGAGAGAGAGATGGAGAGCCGGGGTGGGAAGGGGCGACAACCATCCCTGTTTTCTCTAAACTGGTGGCAGAAATTCTTTCACGACCCAAATCTGGTCATGTCACTCTCTGGACCAGTGGTTCTCAACCTTGGCTGCACATTAGAATCACCTGGGAATCTTGTTAAAATCCTGATTTCTGGGCCTCATCCTCCAGAAATTCTGTTTCTTTGTGACTAATGTGGCCCCACCCCATAACAAAGAAACAGAATTTCTGGAGGGTGAGGCCCAGAAATCAGGATTTTAACACGATTCCCAGGTGATTCGAATGTGCAGCCAAGGTTGAGAACCACTGCTCTAGACTTTGCTTTCTCTATGATAAAGGCCAAAATCCTCCCTGATTTCTTTAAGATCCTGCAAGTCTGACCTTCACCCAGCTGGGGTCCTGTAGCTGCTGTGCTTGGGAGATGGTTTATTTAGAAGTGGCTATAAGACCACACACTGGAGTTCTGGCCAAGGGCCCACCAGCTGGGGACAGACCTGCCCCCACAGAGCAGGAGCCGAGGCTGGGGGCCCAGCCTTGGGATAAAGGGTGCTGGTGGTCTCCGGGGCTGCCTGCTCCTTCGGGCTCTCATTGGCTCCTGACACAGGTGTCCCTTCTTCCTACAGCAACTTTCTCCAAAAGACACCAGCCCCTCAGTTTTGGGATTGCCCCTGTCTCTTCACCCAACCACCCTTTACAAGGGACAGTACCAAAGGCTCCTCAAAAGTAATGGAATCCCACCCCCCTTTCTTCTCCCTTCCTGGTGGCATTTCCTGGGAGTTCTTTAATTGCTCTGTGACCCATTTCCAACTTCCCTGCCCATATCCCATCCACCCATAACCCATCAATTCAGTCTCCAACTTCTGCCGGTCAACGTCCCGCACCTCTGCGGCCATCACTATGGCCCAGCCACCGTCACCTCCTGCCTGGGCAGCTGCAGCAGCCACCTCCTCAGCCCTCTCATCCACTGCTGTGCCCAGTCCAGCCCCCAGCAGCTTGCTCTTAGGAAGCCCTCCCATTCCCATTAGAGCAGGCAACTGCCCACCTTCCCCTCCAACAGACTGTCTCCTCACGCTGCAGAGCCCTCTAACCCAGCGGTTCTCAACCTGTGGGTCGCGACCCCTTTGGGGGTCGAACGACCCTTTCACAGGGGTCGCCTAAGACCACCAGAAAACACATCTATAATTACATATTGTTTTGTGATTAATCACTATGCTTTAATTATGTTCAATTTGTAACAATGAAAATACATCCTGCATATCAGATATTTACATTACGATTCATAACAGTAGCAAAATTACAGTTATGGAGTAGCAACAAAAATAATTTTATGGTTGGGGGCCACCACAATATGAGGAACTGTATTAAAGGGTATCGGCATTAGGAAGGTTGAGAACCCCTGCTCTAACCTGAGACAAGCCTCTTCCCCTGTCAACCACACAGTAGGTCTCCTCGGCCTGACGGGGGCTGGCCCTGTGCCATGTGGTCTTCCCAGACCTGAACCCCAGCCTCGCAGGAAACCCACAGCTTGAATTTGGGTTGATTCTTTCTATATATTCTCTTAGGATTTCACCACACATGCCTGTGTCCCTGAAAAAAATGGACCTGGTTTGAGTGGCATGGCCTTTGTTTCCTCATCCTTTGAAGGATGACGCATTTCCTTTTAACACGGGGACATGCGGGAAGCGCAGTGCTTCGCAGTGGGATGAAAGCTCCAAACATCTGTTTTGCTCCCAACTGCAACCCTAACTGTGCTGGCAGATAGCAGGTGCCCCGAAACACTGTTAAACAAGTGAAGACCCTGCTGAGACGAACTGTGACCAGCAGTAGGGCCAACAGGCTGCGGAATGCGCATGTCAGGGGAGCAGGAAGAGAACAGGGCAGCCCTCCAGGACTTGTCAGTGAGTGGCGGGCCACTGGGGGCTGGGGTGGAGAATTCGAATAGTACAAATCTGGGCCCGCGTGTCTGTCCACAGAGAAGCATTTGAAAGGGACAGTAGAGTGGGATTCCAGGCGCTGGGCTGCTCTGTGCCCGAGTCCCTGGTATGCGGCTGTGGACTCACACATGGAGCAGGTCCCCAAGGTGCTCGCACTGGGCCCATGAGTGGCCTGTTTGTGGGGGACTTGCTATGGAACAGCCGCAATGGTAAGCTCATGTTCACACATTCATCTCATGCTTCTTGCCCCTGCTTTTTTTTGTTAATTGTCACTCAAGGATTTTTTTCCATTGCTTTTCAGAGAGAGAGAGTGAACAGGAGGGAAGGAGAGAGAAGACGAGAGGAACATTGATGTGAGAGAGACACATCAATTGGTTGCCTCCCTCACACACCCTGACCAGGGATGGGGAGTGAACCCACAACCCAGGTACATGCCCTTGACTGGGAATCAAACCTGTGTCTCTTCCATGCCCAGGCCTACGCTCTAACCCCTGAGCAACACCGGCCAGGGCTCCATGCCCTTTTTGAGGTACAGCACCATCTCTCTGTGGATAAGGAAACTTGGAAGTCAGGCCCACAAGCAAGGTCCCACATTGTCCAGGAACACCCACCTAAGAGGCAGGAGCACGAAGCAATGCCTAGAGGGCATTGAACAGCCCCTTCAGGACAGGCACCTCCCGGAGGAGGGAGTGCCCAGGGACCTCTAGCACGCTAATATTTTCTTTGTTAAGCTGGGTGGTGTACTGACATTTATTCTTTTAGGTTTCTCATAAATGCTACATTACCTTTTATTTTTTCAATAAAGCAACTTGTCCATGGTCCCAGCTAGAGGAGCTGGCGCCTGAGCTGGAATGCAGATCTCCCCACACGCCTGTGATCACGCTCAGACAGCCCGCATCTGCTGTGAACCAGGATCACCCGCTTGGACAAATGACACAAGACCCCAGGCAGCTTCCATCTCCACATGAAGCAGGCACCTCCCAATGGCTCTGCATGCAGAGCAGTGACTGTATCACTCAGTCAGTCGCTGTGGCGTGCAAGTGCCCAAAACACCTCCCAGGGCAGCCCGTCTCCCGAGGCGCCGGAAGAGCACCTGTAGCCGTGCTCTGCAGCATCGGGAAAGACCCAGAACTCCAGGCTTCTGAGGAAGAGCATGTGCCGGCCTGAGTCCCTCACGGGAGCCTGGAGGAGGACCTGGCTGCACACCTGGGCTCTCTGTGCCGTGCCAACAGACGGACATCTCCAGGCACCTCCTCACCCTGGGGTGCCCCTGAAGGCACCGGCCGCAGCAGTCTCAGGGCCTGTTGGGCACTGTGCCCGGCCCTGTCGCTGGAAGCCCACACACACAGCAGGGGGGCACTGTCCGTAATGGACGGCTCCTCTGCTGCCGCCCCAGCAGCACAGAAACCTGCCGTTCACGGACAATGCCTGGTACACACTGGTGGGCGCAGTGTGCACCTGCTCAGTCACATGGAAGAGTGCCAGGTGACCGAGGATGAAAAGGGGCTCCGGGCACAGTGTCTTGTCTTGTGACACCACCAAGAACTTCCTAAGGACAAGGGCAGGGGACACCAGAGCCAGCTGAGATAGCCCTCTGCCCCCTCCTGGGAGCCTGGAGACCTGTGGGTGCCTGAGTTCGAGTTCGGGCTTAGGACCCCTGCACAAGCACCTCGTCAGCAGCTGCGAGCTGGGGGGGGAGGGGGCACATGTGCAGTTAGTGAGAGGTTAGAGGGTGTAACTTGCCATTCTGAAAATGGGAGACACCACACCTGTTATTTTCTCTTGAATCTGCTTTTTTCTCAAGAGCCCGAATAACACTTCCAGGTACGCAAGTTTGGTTTTCATGTCATTCTTCTCTCTTTCAGGGCCACTTCAGCCTCTGCCTCCCCCGGGGCATCGAGCTCTTCCTGCCCAGCCACCCAGAGCCAGTGAGCCTGGGTGGGCTCGAGGTGCCCCTCCTGGCCTTTCCCACTGTGCTGCAGCCCCACTCCAGGGTGGTCTCACTGCACTAGGCCTGCCCCACGGTCCCAGCAGGGGTTGGCTCCCTGCTCAGGTTCCCAGCTTGCTCCTGGAAACAGCCCACTGCCTCTTAGTGTCCCCCTAGCCTACCCTCTGGGACTCAGTCCACCCTCTGTTCCTGGGTTTCAGGTTGGCTCAGGCCGGCTGGGCCATCAGAAGGCATTAGGTCCTCGGGGACCCCTCGCCTGTGGTAGCAGAAGCCACCTTCTCGGGGTTGAGCACACTCCAACTGCGCTCTCTGAGGCTGACACTCTTTGAGGCCATTCTGGGTGCCAGGGCAGGGGCTGGGCTCTGCCTGGGGCCACCATGGCCAGGCTGCTCCCTCCTGCCTGCACCGAGGATCATGGGATCACCTGTCCCCTCCTGCTCACCACCTCACACTGCTGGCCCAGCCTTCAAGAAGGCCCACAGCCTCTCAGCTTCCAGGCCAGGCTTTCCACCTGCTTCCTAAAGGTGAGCTCCAACCTCACAGGCAAAAGACTTACAGAGCTGGGCCTGCTCATCACTCATCCACCCCTGCAGCTGAGTGGCTGCTGTGACAGCGTGTGAGGGCCTCCCTTTCCCTTCCTTCCCTTCGCTCCTTCTCCGTGTCAAGCTGCTGTCCTCTCTCTCACGGGCAGCAGATGTTTCTGCAGCCTCTCTTCCTTCTGCTCATGTTGTGTGAATAAGTTCCTACAGTGGGAGGCCAGCTGGGCTTCCATCCTTGTGAACTTTGGGTTCAGCTCAACTCTGGCCTCTTTTCTATAGAAACAGGAGTCACAGGCCCTGCAGCTCAGCTCTCAGCCCCAGAACTTCCGGTCTAGTTAGAAGGACTACAGGCTTTTCTTCTTCTAGCCTCAGGCCTCCTCTCTGCTTGGCTGGCTTTATCCCCGCTCACTGCCAGGGCTCCCGGGCTTCCCAGGCCCTAGGACTCTTAGAGAGGCCATAGGACTATCTCTCACTGTGGTTGGGTTCCACATGCAGAAGCTAACACAGATGCCATTCACCAGGTGACTGATGAATGCGAGTTGATTAAAAATGGACAATTAAAAGTCAGTCCCTTAGTTGCCCAGGCCACAGCACGTGAGGCTGGCGGCGGCCTTCGCACCGGCAGACACAGGGATGTCCCTCGTCACAGGAAGTTGCGGACAGCCCGGCCTGGTCTTAGTCAGCTGAGTGAAACTCACCCACAGTCAAACTGCCCTGGAGAACTCTGTAAGGGGCTGAGCCTGAGGCCTTGGCAGCTGGGAGAACTGAGTCGAAGCCGAGGTGAGGGCCACATGAGGGCACCAAGCCTGGGGCAGGTGTGCTCTCTGCCTCTGCCAATGAAGGCCTGAGCCAGACGGACGGTGAGCAGTAGGAGCTCCTCCCAACAAAGGCATCTCGGGCTCGAGATGGGAAGGATGGGCAGGTGGGCACCGCCCCGCCCTGATCCTCTGCTGCCTGGTGGGGTCTGAGGGAGCTTTGGTCCCGTACCACACAGCTCTTGGGTTTCAGAGAAAATAACAAAGCTCAGGGGAAGCACGTGACTTAAAAATGACTTATCAGCCCACCTGGTATGGCTCATGCACCAAGAGTTCACCAGTTCGATTCCCGGTCAGGGCACATGCTCAGGTTGCTGGCTCAATCCCCAATAGGGGGCATGCAGGAGGCAGCTGATCAGCGATTCTCTCTCATCATTGATATTTTCTCCATCTCCCTTCCTCTCTCTCTAAAAAATCAATAAAACATTTTTTAAAAAAAGACTTATCCCCTCCAGAAGTGTCAGCCAGTCCCTGCAGGCCTGAGGGTGTCGTCTGGAGTGGAGGGAGGGAGGGAGCACAGGCGCACCCTGACCAGCACCTCCCCCCTCACCCAGTGGGAGGCATGAACTCCATAGGAAGGGCCCTGACACCTGCACTCAGTGTGCTGACTGGGGGCATGTCCACTTGGCAACAACATCAGCACCCAAACAGGTCCACACAGCCCCCCACGAGGGCAGGTGTGTGGTGGGCACCTTCTCCATGAGTCGTCCGCTCAGCTCTACGCCAACATGTATGGGGTGTGGCCATCCTCTCCTGAGCTGGGAGGATCCAAGACTCCACGCGGGACAGGGAGGGGTGGCTGACCAGCACTGAGCCTGCAATAACTAGTTACTATTAGTTACACTGTAACACAAAGACCACATTCCAAATAAGACTTTTCTCTCCTGTGCTCATATATTTTAGCCTTTTCAAGAATCTCACTAACCCAAATTAATGGTTCTTCCCATTGTTTTAGGGCTTTTAGATCTCTTATCCATCTCCCCGTGTGCTACACCACCATGTCCTAGGAAATTAGAACAAGATATTAAATGATGAAGAGCATACTGCCTTTGCTATATCAGACAAGTCTGAGGCAGGAGGTGAAAAACACTGAGATAAAATTCTACAAGGCAGACTGTTTCATGGCCTAAGCTCTGGTTAATACACGTTAAATCTGGAGTAAAAATCCTTATACGATGACCTGATCTGCCAGTGCTCACCCATCTGCCCTGAGAAGAGCCACCTGGTTGACAAGGTCCTGCCCTTCTGCACAGTGTGTACAACCCAATTTCACATTTTGGTTCTTGGCAAGAAACCCCAGACACGAAATCCTGCCGGGACAGGGAGCTGGACCTGAATTGCTGCAGCTCCTGCTGGTGCCTCTGGCACAGCTCCGCCTCCAGCTGCTCCTTCTCCCGGGCCAGCTGCTGCGCCAGGCCAGACAGCGCCTGCGCGTAGCACTGCTCCATCTCCGCCCTCTTCAGCTCGAACGTCCTCTCCAGCTCAGGGCCCTGGCTCGCACTCTGCAGCTGGTCCTGCAGGACTTGGATGACCTCCTGAGATTTCACGTGGAGCTTCTCCAGGTTGGCTTTCTGGTCCTCCAGCACACTGACCTCACGCTGGAAAGCCTGCTCCATGTCTTTTCTCTTATTTGCAAAGTCCTTTTTCATCATCTCAATTTCTCTTTCATAGCAGTTTACCTGAGAGGAGAAATATGAGCAATGTCGACCAGGAGGTCCCCAAAGTGACTCCCTGACAATACAACGCAGAAGTATGAGGCTGCCAAGTGGCACCGAAAGCAGAGAGCCTAGACCTGCTGAGGCGCAGGGGACAGCCACGCCAGCAATGCCTACGGCTCCCCACGGGCCCAGGCAGCTACAGGCTTTATTTTCCCCGGTAACCTTCCACCAGCCCCACGAAGCAGATCCAGCAGGTGGGGATGGGAGGCTGTAGGCAGCTGGGCAGGTGCCCGGCCAGGAAGCACGAGGAGGGCTGAGGGTGTGACAACACAGAGAACAGGGAGCCCTCATGAGGTTGGCAGGGCGGTTCTGACCTCCTTGGTGGCTCCAATGGGAAGGAATACTATCCAGCCATGGGCAAGGCTACTACAGCAACTACCAGCTAATACCTCCAGGGAACCCACAGGCATCCCTGCAAGACAGAGGTGGCCCTGCCTCGCTGCTACTCAAACTCAGACATCTGACCCCGGATAACAAGTCATGGACACCGGCCCTTAGCAAAACTCACAACAATCTAATAACAGAGCAGGAGGCCTGGTCATCTGAGAAGACAGAGCTGGCCAGGCCATGAGGCCATGAAGTACCCCACCAAGGGTAAGTCCCAGGGTTATTTTAGTGTAGAACAAAGCCAGGAGTTGTGAATCCCCAAAGACAGAGCAAGCAGGGAGGTCGGGCCTCAGCAGTGCCTTGTGACACTCCAGACACACATAACCCCATTCCCTCCCACTATTAGTTATTCCTTATGTCCCAACTCCCTCCAAAGAGGGCTTGAGGTTGAACGTCAATTTTATTTCCCTTTCCCCACACTTTCCTCCCCTGAGCAGGCTTACTCCGGAGCAGGGTGGCCAGGCAGACGTGAGCAGTAATTACCCACATCTCCCTGCGGCCTCCCTTCCCCTCCTGACCTTGGTCTCCAGCTGGATCCTGAGGTCTTGGTAATGTTCCTTCACCTGCTCCATCATTATCTCCGTTTCTAGACTCACGGGAGTGGAATCGCCCAGGAAGGAGATGATGCCTGCAAACAAGGCCATTTCTGTTTATATTCTGCTCGGGTGCCCTGGATCTGGTCCACACCCTCCCATCTGGCATTTGGACGGCACCGAGAATTCCCCCGGATTTCCTCCACCACCCAGGACAGCGCACGGCCTTCCACGGGCATCTTCTGCTGGCGGTGAGGGGAGGCCCTTGTGGGTTTCCACAAATGGTCTGTTCTGCTCCATTCTCAAAGTTGGAGCTCTGAGAAATCAACATTTTGAGTCTTTGCCAGAACACAGATTACTCCAAGATATAACTAGGAGACTCCCTGCAAGATTTGTCAGGCCCTTCCAATCCCGAAAAGATGCTGCACATGGTACAGGTACTGCACCCTAATTGTGTTCCCTGACCCAGGTACACAGAAAACCTGTGAAGACAGGAAAAAAGTGTGACCTGGAGCACAGACAAACCTCCGTGACAGCCAGTGCTTTATGACGAGGCATGTACACCACACATGCCCACATACAGGTCATGTGGGGTTTCAGCAAATAAGTCAGGAATGGAGTGAAATGCCTGTGGAGTCAAGGTTCTGCGAGGTCACAGGAAGCGACATTTTCTTTTCTTCTTTTTTAAAATATATATTTATCAATTTCAGAGAGGAAGGGAGAGGGAGGAGAGATAGAAACATCAATGATGAGAATCATTGATCGGCTGCCTCCTGCACGCCCCCTACTGGGGATCAAGCCCGCAACCTGAGCATGTGCTCTTGACTGGAATTGAACCAGAGACCCTTAGGTCCGCAGGCCAATGCTCTATCCACTGAGTCGAACCAGCTAGGGCGGGAAGCAACATTTTCTTCCAGAAGATCCTCCTCACTGACAATGTCGGACATCTGGGCAGCTCATTTTAATGGGCCACCTGTAGGCCCACAAGTTCTGCCAGCTCTCCAGGGTACCAGGCATTCCAAACACTGTGTATGTGGGGGATACACCACAGGGTTCCCTCAGAATGTGGGAGTTGGCCAGTGCCAGGGTTTCATCTATGCTGGTCCAGGGGTCAGAAAACCGGAGGAAAAGACATATTCCCTAATCTCACCATCTCCCATTTCCCAAATCATTTTCCATAAAAAAAAACTGACAGACTCAGAGACATGGGCTGGAAAGCCAAGATAAGCACCCCAGGAAAGAAGGCATTCCAATGCCCTGACAGCCAGAAGCTGCCATCTGGGTCTGGCCAATGGGCACAGATAAATGGGCACCACCAGGAGCTGCTCCAGCTGAATGCCCTAAATGCCCGGCCACCATAACCCACATGGCTTCCTCTCTGTAACGCCGCCATTGTGACTGTCCCCTACGGCAGCAGCCAGACCCCTCCTCCCTTGAGGAGGCTGATGGAACCTCTACAATCAGATGCAGGGGTGAAGGGGAAGGAAAAGGCCCCAGCTGGAGATTGTTTTCGTTTTATCAGTGACACACAAAGTGGGGGACTGCTTGGGGTGCCACAGCCTGAGACCTGGACAAGGACAACACTGGTATAGGACCCCAGCTCTGCATGCCCTACGCTACAGAACACCTGGCTCCTGATGAGAGTCACACACCCCGTGCAGCTCAGCCTCCACCAGTGCCCACCTGGCCGGACATCACATCTGGCCCGGGATCTGGTAACACCCGACGAGCTGGCCACACCCTCCACCCACCCAGCAGTCAGGGCTACGGGTCTCAGAAGCCATCAGATTCCACTAAAGAAGCTGCAGGTGAGGGGTTTCTTTAGGGGCCAAGGAAGCTGGGCCCACGTGCACAGAAAACCCACGCGGTTCCTGTGAAGGTTCCCACACGGCTCTCTTGAGCACACACTTTCTTGTTTTATTAAGTAAGCTTTTCCCAAGCAATATGGGAAACTCTGAGTGCTCTCAGGGCTACAGATGGGAGCATGTTCTCCGAGGAGCTGTTTGAGCGATGGAAGCAATCAGGCTGCTGGGCAGTCCCTGTGGTCCTGACTCCCAGGGGCAGTAGCAGGCGTGAAGCCACATACGTCATGTGACCCTGCATAGCACCCGCCTGGACAATTGCCAGGAAGGGTAGCAACCAGCCATAACCACCCTGTCCTCCAAAAGGACCACAGAAACCTCAAGCATAGCTCCGGCAGCTGAAACCCCACCCCCAGCCTGATCTCAAAAGGAGCCCAAAACACGTAACCACACACAGGGCCTCAGGGCCTCTCGGAGCCCGGAGCTCATCCCAAGTCTACGGCTTATTTAGGAAGCATGAACCTGGTCTTTCTCAAGTTACAGCTTCAACATGCAGCTCTGTGTTGAGCACGTGGGGGCACTTCCAGAGTGTAGCAGGGAATAAAAACTTCATTCTACTCGACTAACCATGAAATGGAAGTAGAATAAAATGTACAAACAAACTGATAAAAGGAGCTCACACACTGAGTTTCCTTATAAGCACAATGCAGGCATCAGCAGTCCCAGCTCCTGCTTGTACACAAATGGCCTTGGCCACGACTTCATTTGACGCAGATCGTCCAACTGCAGGAATCTGCTGGCACTGGCAGTTCCAGTGTGCTGACAACAATGATCCATATCGTGACCAGCAAGGACACTGCCCCCACGTCCACAGCCCCTCCTCCTGACTGCTTTGTCCTGCTTCCCGCTCCCTCCCCATAAAACTCTGCCTGTACTGAGAGGCTGAGGTGAGCTTTGCCACAAACCCCCCATTTTCTCAGGTGATCGACACTTGAATAAACCTCTTTTCCTTTTCACCAGCATCTGTCTCATGAATTTGGCTTTCTTGGCAGTAGGCAGCCAACCTGGGATTTGGCTTCAAGAGCTCAAGGGAGATGCTATCCACATAACTCAGGCAGTGAACACCAAGTAAGCTCCGCCTCAGTCCACACGAGGCCCCTGTGAATACGCGGAGCCCCTGACACATTCACATGATTTAGTGCCTTCCCTTTCTAAGAGCTGTCACAGACCTGTGACAACCCCCCTGCTCACCCCCAGAACCCCGCTTCCCTTTTCTAGATGACCATCTCTGCATCTGGCCCGTGCTGACCACTCACCTGGATCCCCTGGGTACCTCTCACAACACTGGAGAGTCACTTGGATGCATCTACCCTACGGTCATGCATCCTACTCAAATGGTAAAGCCCTCGCCCTCCTTGACCTCTCTCTGGGCTTTGGGTGTTGCGTCAACCTCTAGCCTTGGGTTACTGGCCCTTCTCCCACATGCGGCAGTCGGAGGGGCACGTGACCACCTGGAGGCTGGGCTGGGCCTGATGTGCTGTGAAGCGGCCTGCCCAGCACTGTGCTCCCTGGAACCAAAGGCGGCCTGTGCAGCAGAGGTAGGTAGCAGCCCATTGCCCCCACCATCCCCAGCAGGAGCACATCACTGCCACCTCCCAGGACTCGGCTCCTACCTGCTCGGCCATGTCGAGAGAGCAGACGTCCATTTGGCTGTGCATGGGGCTGGCCGCGCCAACTCTGGGGCAACTGTGCCCGCAGACCCTCCACCGCAGCCTGCAGCTCGTCATTGCTGTCCTGCAGGTCCTGTGGGGCAGAGCCAGACACCTCTTCCAGAAACTGTGACCACTGGCATGGAGACTGGGCCACCCAGGGAACAGCTAAGCCCAGTGCCTGGAGCAACCAGCTGGGCCTAAGGAAGCCACACATTTTGGGGGTGGGGGAGGTCCTGAAGACCTGCCCACAGACAGGCAAAGGTGTGAGGGGTTGGTGCATGTCTCCATCCACTTGGGATGCTATAACAAAATACCACATTGGGGGCTTAAAAACAACAGAAATTTCTCAGTGTTTTGGCTTCGTTTTTAATCCTTACCTGAGGACATGCTTAAAGGGGGAATGGAGAGAGAGAGAGAGAGAGAGAGAGAGAGAGAGAGAGAGAGAGAGATAGTTAAGTGAGAGAAAAATATCGATTGATTGCCTTCTGTACATGCCCAGGCTGCCGATCAGACCTGCACCCCATGTATGTGCCCTGACCGGGAATCGAACTGGCAACCTTTTGGTGCAGAGGATGACAGTCAACCAACTGAGGCACGTTGGCTGGGCAAGCTCTAAGGGTTTTGGAGGCTCGAAGTGATGAGTCCCTTTTATTAAAGCACTAATCCCTTTCTCTGGGCTCACCCTCACAACCTCCCAAAGACCCCACCTCCTAACACCATCACGGTGGAGGAATAGGGTTCAACTATGAATTTAGGGGAACACAAACATTCAGTATGGGGAAATACAGAAAAAAAATCTGCATTTGGGGTTTCTGACCAAGGATATGCTACTCCATTATGGTGTCCACTCAAGACAACAGTGAAAACATTTAACTGCAAATAATCTCTAAGGAGGATCTGACTAACCTTTTACACTCCCTTTTACCAAAGGCAGCCTTGCCAAGAGAACTGAGGCTGACAGAGAAAGAAAAAAAAACACCAAAAAAGCTAAAATGATAGTTAAATAGAAAGGGGATTTGACAACAAGGGAAGGGATGGTTTCCTTGCTAACAAATGTCCTGGTTAAAAAATAAAAGTAAACTCCAAGCAGTGACTTTGAAAAGACTGGGTGATGCACATCAGGGAAGGTTCAAGGTTACCTGTACTTCTGGAGACTGACTTTAATGTCCTCAGCCAAGAGGCAGAGACCCCGGCCCCTCTGCCAGTACACCAAGCACCCCGATCTAGGTCTGTGATACCTCGTATAAGAAACCAGGACACCGTGGAGAAGTGACTGGTCCAGGGCAAGTGCAGGTAAAGTACAAGATGAGTCTGCAGCACCTTATGATGCTAGAAAGTATGGAACTAATCAATAAAACAAAACAAATGATGGAGACATGTCTCAAGGACGTGGCTACAAGCTAGAAGACACTCCCATTGGCCAAATCTTACACAATTTGAGCTCCAAAATAATTAGACTTAGCAATGAATTACAAACTACTGGGGGGAAATGGGAATTCATGAGTCCACGCCAATTTGAGCTCCAAAATAATTAGACTTAGCAATTAATTACAAACCACTGGGGGGAATGGGAATTCATGAGTCCACGCCAATAGACAGATAGATAAGTAGACAGAAAGAAAGAAAGATCAGACTTCTCTGGCTTACAATAGAATGCCAAGGGCCACTGCCAGATGTGGGGAGTGGATGCTGAAGTTGAAAAATTGTCATTTGCAATCATCATGGTACAGACTGGAGTGGGCAAGAATTATCAATGGATACTAAACCCAAGGAAAATATAGATGAATAGCAGGATATTGCATGTTCTTAAAGTGCCTCCCCACTGCTGCTTACTAGTTACTACCAGTAATTATACAGTGGAAAAATCAGGTAATGCCCTGACCAAGAGAACAAAATTAACATCACCTATGCTGTCCAGCTGAGAATGTATAACCTCAACTTAATCCAAAGGAAGTATCAGAAAAACACAAAATGAGCCCAGCCGGTGTGGCTCAGTGCACCAGGATGATGCAGGTTCGATTCCTGGTCAGGTCACATGCCTGGGTTTTGGGCTAGATCCCCTGTGTGTGTGTGTGGGGGGGGGGGGGGGGTAGGAGTCAGCCAATCTATGTTGATGTTTCTCTTTCATTGATGTTTCTATATCTCTCTCCCCCTCTCCCTTCCTCTCTCTTTAAAATCAATAAAAGAAAAAACAATTTTTAATAAAAGAAAGACAAACACAAAATGAAGAAGTTTCTATTAAAAGGGAGGGGGGATTGTACTCTTCAATAATATCCATGTCAAAGACAAAGAAATGTGCAATAGCCTGAATGTGTCCTTCCAAATTCCTAGGTTAAACCCTAACATCCTATGTGATAGCATTTGGGAAGTGATTAAGTCATGAGGATGGAGCCTTATAGGAGACCCCAGAGAGCGCCTTCAGGCCCTTCCGCCATGTGAGGACGCTGAGAAAACAGCCAGCTATCTGCGACCAGGAAGAGAACGCTCCCCAGACACCAAATCTGTCTGCAACTTGATTTTGGGCTTCCCAGCCCCCCAGAACTGTGGGAGCTAAATTTATGCTCTTTATAAGTCCGGCCCCCACCCCATTCTATGGTATTTTTGTTGTAGCAGCCTGACTAGACTGAGACAGACTGTTTCAGACTAAAGGATGTTAAACAGTTACTAGGAATATTCTCATTCAGCAGTGCATTGGAAAGCTGGCTCTCCAGGCAGAAAATCCCAGATCTGTAGCTTTTGCACATTTCTATGATCCCACCATAGCCTATTTCAAGTATCAAAGGTTTAACAAGAAGCTAACAAAATTCCTGAGCATTTAACAATCAACTCTGGTGCACCTGCACACCACTGCAAGGGTTTAGGACATGCACACTGACCTGTTTAGGGGTGGAGGGCCATGATGCATATAAATTACCCTCAGATGTTCAGAAAATAACTACGTTGATGCATTCACATCAGGATGCATGCATGCTCACACACACGCACACACACACACACACAGTGAGCAAGTACACAATGACAGAGCAAACAGGGTAAACAACAGGTGAATCTGGGAAAAGGTAATCTGTATTCCCTGCATTACTTTTACTTTTGTAATTTTATGTATTAGAAATTATTTTCAAATAAAAAGTTTTTTAATGCACTAGATGTTAGTTTGAAATAGCAAAAAAATTAGAGGGAAAATTTCTAAACAGATTAGTACTAAAATGTAAAATATTTCTGCTGATGTTTCAAAAACTAAAATCTCAAGAACCAAATGTGAAATGAGTAGCAGTTATTTGAGTAAGAGAGTCATGCTAAAGAAAGACGGAGTTTATACTTGTTAGAAAAATCCAGTGGATTAAAGCGATTTTCAACCGGTGTGCCACAAGAATATTTAAACATGAATACCTGACTATTTAGTCAGGGGCACTGACCTCTTTTCCTTTAGACTACCTAATAAAAAAAAATGACAATAGTCAACACAATAGCTATCTGATGTGAATGAATCAAAATTATACCTATTTTCTTTGTCAGATTGACAAAAATATATTTTTTGGTGTGCCACAGAATTTTAGTAGCTTATGTGTACCATGAGATGAAAAAAGTTGAAAATCGCTGCACTGAAGGAACATGAATTAATGGTTACTTGTAGGTTCTAAGTCTTTGCAACAAGCCTAAAGGGAGGGAAAAAACACAGCCTGGAGCTACAATTCCAGCAGAAGGTTGTGTGGCACTTCCCACCTGCGTGACAGCCCCACAACCCTGACCCTCCACACAGCATCTGGTTCGGGGGGTTGGGGGGGTGACACCGCTGCCCACACACAGGATTCTCAAAAGGGCACCCAGGACTCAGGGTTTGCAGTGGAGGTGAGAACACAGGGAAGGAAACAGCAGACCACGCCACACTCCAGAACAGCGTGCCTCACCTTTATCCTCTGGTGTTGCCAAAGCAATGTGAAGCAGGAACAAAAGTCAGTTTTTACTTTAATTTGGAGAGAGACCATTAAATAGTGAATTATGCCCGGCCAGTGTCGCTCAGTGGTTGAGCATTAACCTATGAACCAGGAGGTCACTGTTTTGATTCCTGGTCAGGGCACATGCCCAGGTTGCAAGCTCAATCCCCAGTAGGGGGCATGATTCTCTCTCATCACTCATGTTTCTATCTCTCCCTCTCCCTTCCTCTCTGAAATCAATTGTGTGTGTGTGTATACATATGTATATGTTTTATCTGTTGGGGGGGGGGACTTCGATCATTTTAAGAGTGTAATGGGGTCAGCGCCACTAACATTGTTCACCATCTCTGCCCTGCTCTGCACTGCAGTGTCTCCAATTAAATGGACTGACATCGGTAGGTTTGGCCCAGGACATCTAAACACTCAACAACAGAAAACACGATGAAGCTTTCCATGGTGCCTGGAGACACAGAGGAGCCTGCGGAATTGGTGCTGGTCTAATGACTTGGCCAGCCCATGTGGGGCTAAACACAGGGGCTGTGCAGGCAAGTCCTGTTCCACCTCCTAGCAGAACAGGAGGCTTGGAGGACCCTGTCAGCCAAATGCAGGCCCAGAGCAGAGGCTCTTCCCGCTCTGCTAGGAGACGGATACTCCTGACACCCATGCTGGACCACTTCGTGTGGAGGCCAGGAGTGTGCCCTGCCAAGGATGCCAGGCCACTCCCGGGCAGGAGGTGGAGGGATGAAGCCTGCATACCACCACCCAGGTCTGAGCCAGACAGACCCTGATGACTTGCAGCGCCAGCCTGTCTCATGGGCTCCAGCACCCGATTCTTTGCAGGAGTAGCTGGGAGATGGTACCACAGCTTATGGCATAGGAGGTCTCTGAAGGCTCAAGCTCTTAGAAAGAACCACCCCTGCTATGGGGGCGGGGGGCGGGGGGAGACTGGAGTGTGTGACGGCCCAGTGCACAAAAGACAAAAGCGACAGCCTGGTCCGAGACAAAGGGCGTGCTGAGGCTCAGGACGGTGACGGGGCCAGGGGAGCACATACCCTGCACTTGAGCTTGTACTCCTTCAGGACCTCCTCGAAGTGCTCTTCCTGGGCCAAGAGTTCTGTGCTCTGTGGCTCCAGCTGAAGGTCATACCAGGAAAGGAGAAAGACACACACGACCTCAGGCCAGGTAGAGTGCATGCTGTCACCCCTCATGCTCTTTACCCAAGGCTCAGCACTTCCAGTTACACCCTCCAGTCCCTTCCTCCTCCTTCCCTCCTTCCCTTGTTTAAAAGGTCTCAGGGCAGTAGGATGATCGGCCCGTGGCCCTGGGGACACCCCCTGCCTGTATCCTTCCCCAGTGCAGCAACTCCTCTCCCCGCCTGCTCCCCAGGTGATGGGCAGGGCCTGGTGGGTGGGAGACCTCGTGGTGGGCACCAAACTCTACCCTCTCCTCCATGCCCCTCATCATGAGAGCCTGTCACTGGGGTCGATGGTGCCAGCTGGCCCTGGTCTCGCCATTAAAAGGCCCACATGCAAGGCCCTGCATTGGCCTGAAGGGGGCGGGGGAGGGGCGGGACAGAGGGAAATTCACCTTGCTCATTTTCTCTCTGAGGTTTAACAGGAAAAACTAAACCCAGCCACCTCGATATTCTTTTTCAAGACCCTGATACTTTTTACCCAGCTCCCCAGGCTCCTCTCTCAAGACTAAGCGTCAGCAAAAGGACTTGCCTTGTCTTTCAAAACAAACTCCAGGTCAGTCTGCAGTTTCAGGACCAGCTTCTCTGATTCCGAAAGTTTTTCCACAACTTCGACGATCTCCTTCTGCAATCGGCTGTTTTCCTACAAGACACAGCTAGCGGTTGCCAGGCTCTGAGTGGAAGAGGGCGCTGTGGGCAGGTCTGCCCTCCCTCTGAGTGAGAGGCCTGCTCCCAGGAGCACTCATCATCAGGGAGGACACCTCGTGGTGCGTGGCACTCCCGCCTGATGTGCAGAGGCGGCTGTCGCAGGGGCCATGCAGAGCCACCCTGGGACGGACCTGCGAAGCCCTCACCAGCGCTCATTGCTCTTCCCTTGGCCTCTGCTCCTCCCATTCCAAGCGCTCAGAAGGCCAAGCGTACACAAGCAAAGGCTGGCGGCAGGCCCTTCGGAGCTGTTTTCTAAATGAGGGATTTGGAGCTGCACCACTACCCCTCAGAGGCCCACCAGGGAGGAAGGCAGCACTGTCAGACACGGGCAGCCTGTAAGGAGAGGTGAGGACAGCTCGGGGGAGAGCCCAGACAGGCAGAGCAGGCAGGGCCTGTGCTCGCTGCCGTCGAGGCCCCTGGGTGCCTGGCTTCTGCTCCTGAGGGAAGCAGGCAGGTGTGGAGAGAACCCACAGGCTCTGCGTTGCGAGAGGAAGAGAAAGGCAGGAGCACAGGAAGAGCAGGGGACACCTCACTGAACCCACTGCAGGATGGCTATGGGTTGAGGGACACTCACCAAAGCCCCGAAACCACCTGTGCCCCAGGCCGCACCCACGGGTTTGCTGACTGCACAGGTGCTCTGGTCTCCAGGGCTGCTGGCCCTTCCTCACCTTGGCCCACAGACCCAGAGAACAGCGCAAGGGTCTGCAGGTGCCCACCTGTCCTGCTGCTCCAGTGACCAGAGGGCACACCTGGGCAGTGCCGGTGCTGGCGAAGCCGGGACCCTTTCTGCTCTGGCTGAGAAACGCGCTATCTCCATGGCAAACGTTCCTCAGTTTGAAATCCTAGGGATTTCCCTACCACAGAGATGTAAACTTCCGTGACTAGGTGTTAAATCCGTGACTAGGAAAATGTGGGGTGTGGGAGGAGGGACCGGCAGGTAAACTCGTTCTGTCTTTTCCTTCTGGGTGGGGTGCCCTGTGGAGGCGTCCTTCCCCTCCTCCGTTTCCTCCCCGTCCCTGCCTACCTACCTTCAGAGCCAGGGTCAGCTTCTCTCGGAGGCTGGCCTCCTCAGCCTGCAAGCGCTCCAGGTCCCGCTCCAGCATGGTTCTCTGCCTGCAGGCCTGTTCCCAGAACAGCTCACGCTCCATCTCCACCTCAGACCGCAGGAGATTCAGCCTTTCTCTGTACTCCTGCTCCAGGTGTCTGCAAGGCACACAGCAGCACGTCACACTGGGTTTCCTGCCTCTCCAGGGACACCTTTCCAGCCAACAAGACCTCTTCATCCCCTGGAATTCCCCCTCACGAGCACTTGGCCACGGTCTTGGACTCAATAGTTCCTGCTTGACAGATGGGGTCAGTTTCTCAGCTAGACGGCAGGTGCTGTGAGGCCAGGGCCCTCCTTTCAATCCTACACCTGGGCCTGACGATGGGTGCTCCTCCTGGGAGCTGGAATGCAATTGTTTAAAAAGGAGTTTTCTCCTTGAACAACACTGGGGCTGAAGAGCTGGCAGTGCTGCACAGAGAGCACTGCGTGGAAGCTGGGCTGCTGCAGAGCCTAAGGAGGCCCCTGCGGGCCCTCGCCTCCCATGTCCCAAACAGCCAGCAGCCCAAGGTCTCGGTGTCACCAACCGGGGTGTCTAGAATAGGTCCTGCACACGCTCAGGTGAGATACCGAGATTTCCAAATATGTGACAAGGCTGCTGACAGCATCTTGTTAAAAGGGCCATCAGGAAGCTGGAAGAGGCACCAAGGAAGGGGGGAAATATGCTAGCTACTGCACGCTTGGCTTCTTTCAAGATTCTTTTCGTTCCTTACACCCTATTTTGCGAAGTCAGGGAACTAAGAATAATATCTCAGACGAGCAAAGTTAAATATCTGTAGCTACAAGAATCAACGGTTTGAATTTTCTGGTTTCACCCATAGGAACTTGCTCAGCAAGAAACGGTAAATGGGGAAGCTTATGGCTAGACATTGCAAGGGAACCAGCTGAACAGACACTGTTGACAAGAGCAGAAACAAAACCCAGTTATTTCTTAACCACATGCTCCTTTGTGATGAACACTGCACATGTTCCGCACCGAGCGGCTCAGCAAGGCCACAGCCAGTGCGTCTAGACCAGTGATGGCGAACCTATACACGCATGTCAGAGGTGACACGCGAACTCATTTTTTTGGTTGATTTTTCTTTGTTAAATGGCATTTAAATATATAAAATAAATATCAAAAATATAAGTCTTTGTTTTACTATGGTTGCAAATATCAAAAAATTTCTATGTGTGACACAGCACCAGAGTTAAGTTAGGGCTTTTCAAAATGCTGACACGCCAAGCTCAAAAGGTTCACTATCACTGGTCTAGGCGGAAGTCAAGATGTCCATGGCCCATCTCTCCACACTGGGGCTCCTGGCCTTGCAGACACCACTTTATAGTGAGGGAGACCATATTTATTTAGTTTCTCAAGTTTGATTGGAAACGGTTTTAAAAGTTTGGTGAAAGGATATTTAATTTTTAGCTTTCCTGAAAATTACTATTATCCTGTTAAGAGTACAGGAGCTGGTGGAAGTGAGTATGCACGTGTGTATGCTCACACCCACACCTGCACACTCACTCATACCCATGCACTCTCACTCATACCGATACATACTCTCACACACTCACATCCCTTGATGCAATCTCTCACATACGCCTTCTCAACACCCACAGAGGTAGGTGAGGATTCCAACTGGTGAGCAGGCCAGTATCTCAACCTGCTGCACTTGGCCTTCCCTAGCCACCCCAGGAAGGCAAAGAGAACCCAGGCCTTTGGAATTAGGAAACAGGAAGCGTGTGGATGCGGATTTGAAGCCGCTCCCCCACAGACTGTGATATATGGAAAGGTGGCAGTTCTAGGAGGGGCAGCCAGGGCTGTCCCTGAGAACCCTAAGTATATGAATTGTGTAGAGGGAGCTGGTGGGGCCCTTGTGAGCTGACGTAGGATGTCCATGGACTGGACAACCCTATCCTGGGACAGTGATGCGCTCTCTACCCCTCAGGGCTCCTCTCGCTTAAGGGTCCATTTCTGACACTCCCAGGATAAAGCAGGCCTGGGCCTATGCTCTCTCAGAAATAGCGTAAGACAAAGAGAGAGGACCTGGGGTTTAAACCGCAGGCCACACTGGTTATGTGACTGTGGCGAGTGAACTGTACCGTCTGTCTAGCTACCAGCCCCACACGTAGCGTAGACCATTCGCCTGGGGTCTGCCCAGTGCAATGCCCATAGTCAGGTTTCGAGCTCTGAGCTTCTTCCACCATGTCAGGCTCCTTCTTGCTGAGCCAACAAGCTCCAAAGCCATCCACTAGCCTTGTCTCAAAATGTCCATCTGTCTCACGCTTACAGACACACAGAACATGTGGCTTGAGTGGGACAGACCCCATAAATGAAGCAGAGGAGAGTGAGGGAAGCAGAGAGGACTTTTCCCTGCAGCTCACAGGCGTGCACAGCTAGATGCCTCCACCATGCAACCCGCCATAAAGAGCAGGGCCACTTTTTATTTTATTTTTTTGAGATTTTTAAAAATATTTTTTAATTAAAACATTTTAAGTATATATTTTTTTTATTTCAGAGAGTAAGGGAGAGGGAGAGAGAGATAGAAATATCAATGATGAGAGAGTATCATAGATTGGCTGCCTCCTGCACGCCCCAAACTGGGGATAGAGCCTGCAACCCAGGTACATGCCATCTGATCAGGAATCGAACTGTGGCCTCCTGGTTCCCAGGCCGACGCTGAACCACAGAACCACGCCAGCTGGGCTAAATATATTTTTATTGTTTTTCAGAGAGGAACAGAAAGAGAGAGAGAGATAGTAACATCAATAATGAGAGAATCATTGATTGGCTGGTACGGCCACTTTTTAAAAAAAATATATTTCTTTATTGATTTCAGAGAGGAAAGGAGAGGAAGAGAGAGATAGAAACACCAATGATGAGAGAGAATCATTGATCAGCTGCCTCCTGCACACCCACTACTGGGGATCGAGCCCGCAACCCAGGCATGTGCCCTTGGCTGGAATCGAACCTGGGACCCTTCAGTCCGCAGGCTGACGCTCTATCCACTGAGCCAAGCTGGCTAGGGCAGGCCACTTTTTAAATGCACCCCTCTCTCTTCTTTCAAGGAAAGGCACCCCCAAAGGTGTGTCTTCTAGATTCCTACTGGCTCAGGTGAAACAAGAAGGCCGCGGCTCTGCTATGGTCATGACCACAGCCTTGGCTGGTGGCAGCCCTCTGTCTACAAATGCCCTCAGCTATGGCTGGGAAGCTGCTGCCCTGCTGGGAGGAGCTACAGCTCTGGGCTTGGCACCACTGGCAGGACCTACTTGATCTTCTTCTCCGTGAGCTGCTCCAGGGCCGAGTGGCAGTCGTCCATCTCCTTCACAAACTCCAGGTTCCTCTTCTCCGCTTTCTCTAGATCTTGCCTTGCCTTGTCTCGTTCCCTCACCATCTGCTCCACTTGCCCCCTGCGCAGGGAAGAGACAACGTTAATAGAACACATGGTCTGGGCCCAGCGAGCTCTGTGTCTACACGAATGTTAAAAGGGCCGGCACTCGCTGGGTGCACGGCATGGTCCAGCGCTGTGCTCTAACCTCACGCCACCACCATGCACCTCCTAAAGAGGTTTGTTCCATTACTATGCCCATTTTACAGGTGTGCACACTGAGAGAGAGGGGTTAAATGACTTGCCAAGGAAAGTTTCTACAAGGTTTCTGAACCAAAGAAGTCCAGCCTAAAGGCTTACAGTGTGCCACACCTGCAGAAGGCCACCAAATGGTGAGAATTCATCTGTGTCCCCCTAAGTCTCCAGCGGGGACTTGGACCCCAGGAGTCCTCAGCACCTAACCTGGGGTTGGACACATGAGAGGAGCAGGGTGGCCGACCAATACCCTGCCTGGCCACAGCCCCGACACCTGCAACCTGGCATCTGAGTGAGTGCAAGGTACGTCAGCCAGAGAGAAGGCCATCTGTGTGCGTGGCCCTGGATTGTCCAGTCACCCCACCCACCCCACCCCCCGGAGGCTCTCAATTCACCCGGCACTCACTATTCTGGTGACTATTTCTCCCACCGAAGGAGCACAGAGCCTCCCACCCCCCAGTGGATAAAGTACTCAGCGAATCCAAAGCTGATCCCAATTAAAGTGGAACGTATTCTTAGCCTGTTACTTGGTGGCCATGTTTAAAGAATACTTCTTTTTCCTCTCCAGCCACCAGACCCAAGTGCCCTCTGGCTGTTCTCAGAAGCACAACCTACTGACAGGAGGGTTTGCACCTCTGTGCTGCGAAAGCTCCAGGATACGCAGGATGAGCGTCAAGTTCAAATCCTTCTCTGTGGAACTGCTAGAAGGGGCTAAGGGATGACTTTGACAAAGATTTCTAAGTGGGAGAGAAGGCCAGTGGCCCTTAAATTCTGTGGCCACAAAAGCCCCAGCAGTGACCACTGAGCAGTTCACTGGATCCTCAGCCCCCACTGAAACCACACACGTGGACAAAACCTGAAGGACAGGGAGCCCTCGTCCTGCTCCCACGGCTCAGCTTTTCCCCAGTCCCACTGTGGGCGCCAGCTAGAGGTAAGTCAGTGGGAAAGATGGTGCAAACCCCCCACTCCCGGGACTGGGCATTTGGGGTGGATGAGGGCAGAGTGCCAGTTTCTTCGACTCCCCACTCCAGACCAGCCCGGCCAGCTGACTCCCAGGCCCACCCCAAGCACATGGGGGCTCTTACTGGCAGAATCTCAGCTCCTGGCGATAGCAGGACAAAGCCGCCTGCTGGGTGACACCATGGATCATCATGAGCTCGTTCTCCAGGGCCCAGGTCAGCTCCAAAAGGTTCACCTTCTCATCCACACTAAAGTCGAGGCTCTGGAAACAGCAAAACCCATCAGGCAGAACAGGATTAGTGGCTTCTCTAGACACTTCCCGGCTGTCTTAGGGACAGTCCAGGCCGGGATCCATGCTGTCCTATAGGCAGCACCTGCCACTTTTCCATCAGCAAAGTCTCTGCCTCTTGGACATGCCTCTCCCCCACCCATACAACTCTCCCCCACCCTGTCTTCCACACCCGGTTCTGCCCCCTTCACCGTCCCTGCCTCAGCGGCGGGCGTGACCCAGGCCAGACAGCGTTTCCCTTTCTGGGCAAAGTGACTGACACAGACGGGGCCGTGCCTCAAGCAGAGGACTCAAGGGGATTGACAGAGGATGGAGGAGAGGCCCTTTCCCTGGGAAGTCAGATGCTGTAAGGACCTGTGGGTCTGGGGAGATGCATGGGGAAGCCTGAGCTGACACCAACACCGCCAAGAAGCAAGCAGCGGGACAACACCAAGGTTGGAGCACCAAGAGTACCACCACCCGACATCCTTCTCAACAGAACCTACGTAGGCCAGGAGTGGCAAGAAATATTCAAAGTGATGAATAGCAAGGACCTACAACCAAGATTACTCTACCCAGCAAAGCTATCATTTAGAATCGAAGGTCAGATAAAGAGCTTCACAGATAAGAAAAAGCTAAAGGAGTTTATCACCACCAAACTGGTATTACATGAAATGTTAAAGGGTCTTCTTGAAGAGGAGGGGGAAGAGGAGAAGGCAGAGAAGAAATAAAAATTAAAAACATGAATAATAAAATAGCAATACATACATATCTATCAGCAATTGAATCTAAAAGTCAAAATAGCCCTAACCGGTTTGGCTCAGTGGATAGAACATCGGCCTGCGGACTGAAGGGTCACAGGTTCGATTCCAGTCAAGGGCATGTACCTGGGTTGCGGGCACATCCCCAGTGGGGGATGTGCAGGAGGCAACTGATCAATGTTTCTCTCTCATTGATGTTTCTAACTCTCTATCCCTCTCCCTTTCTCTCTGTAAAAAATCAATAAAATATATTTAAAAATAAAATAAATAAAAGTAAGCAGAACAAAAACAGACTCATAGATATAGGAACATTTTGCCGGCTGCCAGATGGGAAGGGTGTTGGGGGGATGGGTGAAAAGGTGAAGGAATTTAGAAGCACAGGGTAGTCATAGCCCATGGACACAGACCATAGACAGGTGAAAGCCTGGGGTAGGGTGGGAGATGGGTGGAGTGGGGCAAAGTCAGGGAAATGGGGGACATCTGAAATACTCTCAGCAGTAAAATAAATTAAAAAGAAAAAGATATTTTTAAAATATATTTTATTGATTTTTTACAGAGAGAAAGGGAGAGGGATAGAGAGTTAGAAACATCGATGAGAGAGAAACATCGATCAGCTGCCTCCTGCACACCCCCCACTGGAGATGTGCCCGCAGCCAAGATACATGCCCTTGACCGGAATCGAACCTGGGACCCTTCACTCCGCAGGCCGATGCTCTATCCACTGAGCCAAATCGGTTAGGGCAAAAAGAAAAAGTTTTAAAAGGGGAAATATGCTCTAATAACAGGAAGGCAATAAAAAGAGTAAATTCTGAAATGTCAGAGGCAAGGCTGAGACTCCCCACTGGTCAGACTATGATGGCAGCCAGCCCACCTCCAAATACTGGGACTCAGGAACAGGGCTTCAGGGAGAATTTCAAACCCTGAGCCCCTTCCCTCTTTGCCCTTCCTGGGGGCAATTTCTGTGATCTAGGCTCAGCCTCTAGATCTCAGAATAGTTTCGAGGGCCAGCTGTCCAGGTCTGGCCTTGCCATCTGGGCTCTGCCCAAGGTTGCTGGCTGGCCAGACATGGCAGAGGCTGAGTTTGGGCCCAGGAGGATTTGGCCCAAGGAGCGAGGCAGACTATCTTAAAGGTTGTCTCTGGGCTCCTTCACATTTGTTGGTTTGTGCTAATGAGGGCATTTTTGGAGGCAATATGACAGAACCTATCAAAAGGTAAAATGTGTAACTTCAGGAATCTAACCTACAGAAATGCAAGCATTAAAGCAGGAGGATATACAAGCATTTTAAATGCCCAGATTTATAACAGGAAAAACCTACATGTACAACAATAAAGAAAAAGTAACACAAATTAGCAAGATACAGGATATAATCCCAATTTTACAAAAAAAAAAAATTTAACTGGGATGTTTAAATATATATTTCCTTTTTGTGCCAGGGAAATGCTCTGTAGGATGAATGCCCACTAAGCCATGAGCTGTTGCCACTCCTGGAGAATGGGAGCAAAGGGGCGGGGGAGGAGGGGACGGGGGACAGGGGCAGCCTTTACTATATTATAGACTTCCATAGAGTTGACACTTTCTTTAACAACAGGAAGTGAAATGTGGATATGAAAATAGTCAGTCTAGCTCACCACACTTCCCTCAGCATTCTTCCCAGGGTCTGGCCCTGTGGCCCTCGGGGAGGTGTGCCTGGTCCCTAGGAAGAGGCCTGGGCCCATCTGAGGACAGTCTCCTGGACCAGCCGCTGAAAGAGCAAGGGAGAGCTAGGGAGGAGCCTCCCCATGCCCGGCCCAGTGGGGGAAGATCTGGGGTGAGCAGGGGCTATGCGGGCAGAAGAGCTCAACGAGCTGGGCAGGCAGCTCTGGGAGGAAACGTTCAGATTCTCGGAGAGTAATGCTCACTAAGACATCTCCACAAGGAAGAGGACATCTGCACCACCTGGTCGGTGGGACTGACCTCCTTCATCCAGAAAAACAGAATGTCTCCAAGGCTGAACTGCACTGGGGGAAATGCCTAAAGTGTTCAAACCGACCTTCAAATGGATTCATGTTTCCTCTCTTTTTCTTTATTATTTTTAAGTGAAAATGTCCTCTATTTTAACAGCAAAAAATAAAGAAAAAACTGTTTCCAACTGGCCTTCCTTCCCTACATGGGGTTCTCCACACCCAGTGTTTACAGGGTGCTGTGCCCGGCCGCCTCTGTGGGCAGATGGCCCCAAGGTCCCCTGCTGGCCCCACACAGCCTGGATGCCTCCCGGAGTAGCAAGCTGTGAGTGAGCAGTTCCATACCTGCAAGACTTCCTTGCCATTATGAATCCCCTCCTGGGCCCACAGGGCAATGAGCTGCTCGGGAAAGGCGAAGCCGGTGCCATTGTCAACGCTGCAGAAAAGGCGCGGGCCTGAGCACAAGGACACGAGAGAGGATGTCGTGGTGGTGTGGCAGCCACCCTCCTCCAGGACCTGTGTGGGAATCAGGGAGACGCTGTGAGCACACGGGCCCCCTGTTCATCTTTCACATTTTCCAACCTCGCCAGCCTGGGCGCGGTTCTCCGCTGTGTCACTGAGGCTTCATAAGAACAACTCACAGACGAGGAAACAAAGGCACGGCACCGTTGCTCAGGGTGCCCAAGATCACACGGCACTGCAGGTGGCAAAGTGGGGATTTGAACCCAGGACTCCTTACACCCAGTTCAACTCTCTCTCGAGGACCCTGGGTGCCTCCTCTCCTACCATCCACCGAGGCCTTGTGCAAGGAACATGTCCCAGCACCCGAGTGGCCCAGCCTGTCAGCACGCACCGCCTAGCGGGAGACATGAAGAAGTCTCACATCTCTCCCCGAATCAGTAATGGTCTGGGCCTGGCTTCACAAAAGAGCCCAAGAAGGCACGTGCCAGCACTAGGAAGTGCAGTCTGTGGAAAGAAACCCATGACAAGTTAAAGAGAGGAGATGGGACAGCCTGAGCTTCTCCTCAGAAACAGTCTCGGGGAGTTTTAAGATGAAGGCAAAAAAATCATGGCCGGCCCTGGCCAGTGGCTCAGTTAGTTGGAGCATCATCCTGTGCACCAAAAGGTTGTGGGTTCGATTCCCCGTTAGGTTGCAGGTTCTATCCCTGATCTGGGCGCATACAGGAGGCAACCGATCTCTCTCTTTCTCTTGGCCTGCTAAGCTTAGGTGCCATAAGAATCCACAAGGCAAGATTATTTTCCTTGCTGTTTTCTGCCTTCAGAACAAGCATTTGCTGTCTGAGGCCACAGGAACGAGCAGCAGCAGCCCTTTCCTGCAGCCACCAGCGATCCTGCTACGCCTGCAGGGGCACCATCCTCACCAGTCTTCCCTCATCCCCTTCTCACAGGCTCTAGTGCCTCCTTGCTCTTCCTGTACGTTGCCGAAAACACTTTCCCCCAATGCTTCCATGGCCACTCCCCTACTCAAATGGCATTCCCTTGGCCTGGCTAAGTCCCCACCGCCTCCCTAACAGCATTCACTCCTTCAGCAGGGATCACTGGCCTTTACGCCATCTGCCCTTCCTTTGGATGCAGCAGCCGCCTGCCCTCGTCTACCCTCAACTGTGTCCCTACCACTAACTGTGTCCCTACCACTTCCCAGTTACTTAAGGACTGGGTGCTCACTACGCTGCACTGGGCACTTTACAGCCCTACAAAGTATCCTGTTTACAGAAGGGGAGAGGGAACTCAGAATGCATGGCCACCACAGACAAACTCAGATACCCAAATGCACCCAGACCACCCTAGCCTCCCTCCCTCTGCTTCCTCTCTGAGGACTGAGCTGGATGGGGCCGAGGCAAACCGCCATCTGTGGCACACATCTGAGAGCCAAGCACTGCCATGCGACGATAGAGTCCACACGCCAGGATGCGACACCTTCCACCCCACAGCCATGTCAGCCTGGACAGTCTTCCTGGACAGCCAGGTCTCTCTTGGGCCACCGGCATCTGACCAGTGGTGGGTCCCGGCCGGCCGGGCGCCTGCTTCTGTGGCTCAGGCCCCTCTCCAGCTGTGCCTCCATCTCAGGACATGGCAAGAGGCCCTGTGCGTGACTTGTGGGACTTCCTTGTGGTCTCTGGCCCTATGTGGCCTGACAACACTCCTAGTTTCTTCTTTGTCTGCTCTTCCCGACTTCAGATTCAGAAACCTGATGACCAAATTACCCAGCCTGGCAGAGAGCAATGTCACTGGTTTTGCACCATCACCCACAAACCACGGGATCAGCCATGTCAGCACAGAAGTATCAGGAAGACTCCCAGAGCGCCTGCTTGTGGTGGGAGAGGGCGGCCTTACTGTCCTGGGGCTGAGAAAACCAAGTACTAGGCCAACAGTCACCAAACAAAATCACAACTGCCTGAAATCTGCTCTCCTCCAACTGCAGACACCTGGTCTTTGTATGTGAGGACAGAGAACACAGGCTAACGAGCACTTGGAGGGTAATCCTAGGGCCAGTTCAGAATCCTTCAGTGACACTGGCCAGGAGGAGGGAGAGGGGGTTCTCTTATCGGAACAGTGATTCCCACACTAGGAGACACAGCGAAGAACCACCAAGGAATCCTCATAAAACCCCAATGATGCGGTGCCCATTTCACAGATGAGGAGCCTGAGGCTCAGCGAAGGTAACACCCAGTGACACACAAGTAGGGAGAAGCAAGCCAAGATCTGTGTGGTTCTAGGATCTAAATCACACTGCCTCCCACTTACACACGTGTGTGCACGCCCTGACCAACTGCTGGGCTCACTGTGGTAACACAGGCAGAAGGGTCAGGCCTGTGAAAAAATGCTGAAGGCCAGAGGGTGACAGCACTTAATGCTGTGATTCAAGACGTAATTGTCCCATTTTACCTGGGAATGAGACCAGGACCTGCTCAGTTTGACGGGAGAGGAAGATTCCAGAAGTGAAGTGGGCCCGTGACTGAACAGGCCACGCTGGAATTCCGCAAGACTCACTCTGCCATCTTGGTCTTGGTCCAGTTTGTTAAACAGGTCTTCCAGTTCCTAAACAAAAGCCACACACCTGTGCTCAGAAGCTCTGCCCACAAGCAGCTACGTGCCAGCTGCAGCCATCCCAGCCCACCCATCCACCCTCCCACTCACCCTCCCTCTCCAAGCAGGGCAGTTTGCTTGTCCTCATCCAAACTCAACTGCTGGGTCACACCTGGCCTCCCCAGGCTCTGGCTTATGAAATCTACACATCTGGTCAGTTTTCACCCTGCTATGAATGGGTGCTACCAGAGCTTCCTAAATTCCAGTGTCTAATGCGGCAGGGACTTGCTGGAGGATAGAAAAGATGTATATATGGAGCATGGCCCGGCCCCAGAGGTTCATGGTCTAGCAAGGGCCGTAGGGCTGAGGGGGACTTTAGCAAGAGGGGGCGGGATTGCCCCATCACCACTGCTTGCTCCTCCTCCCCTTGGGCCTTGCAGGAGGAAGGAGGAGTGAATACAGCTGTTGGGAGTGTAGCCAGGCTCCGAGGGCACTGTGTTTGGGCTCAGAGGTCGAACAAGGCCGGATAGGTAGGGGGAAAGGGTGTTAGAGGCAGAAGAAGAATCCTGAGTGCTTAGAGGTCGGCGAGGCTGAGGTCATGCCTGGTCAGAGGCGGACCCTGGAGGGTGCAGACTTCAGCAGAAGCACTGGGGTCACCAAAGATTTTCAGACCAGAAATTAATACAATTGAGTCAGCATTTGCAGGGTGAAAGGATTTTCCACATCCAACATCAACCACGGCCATCGCAGTCATGGAGGGCGGTCTGTCCCGGCCCCTCGTACCTCTTTCTTGAGTCCTTGGAGCCCGATGCTCTGGCAGACCAGCGCCAGCTCCTGCTCATTGAGGTGGCCACTGCTGCCGACGCCCAGCTCTTCCCAGATGGCCCGGACCTGGCTCTCAGGGGTGTCGAAGAAGGGGCTGCAGGACTTCTGGGTATTCCCAAAGGCCTCAGAACCCCAGAGCGGCAGCTGGCCTGAAGCAGAGGGAGTGACAGGTAAAACCGGTGCTCCAGGAGAATGCCCCGAGGGGGAACACACCTGCCTGTAAGTTCTCTGAAATCAGATGGACACAGGTGAGTAGCAAAGCATCAAAAGTGGAATCTAGGTGGTGGGTACAATTCTTTCAACTTCATTCTGTGTTTGCAAATTTCATAATCAAACCTCTCTGTTCCACATGGGGAAAGCTTTTTCTGAAAGGAACCTACTAAAGTCACACCATTGAAAGCACATAAAAGAGGACGGCATTATTTGTATGTACAATGAAAAGTTTTTAAAAAATTAATTTTTAGAAGAATTTCAAACCTACCCAAAGTAAAGAGCACAGTCCATTGAACCCCAGTGCACCTGTCACCCGGGCTCTGTGATGATAAAGGCTTTGCAGGCTGAATTCAACGATTCCCTTTCTGCTATTGCTGAAGTGCTTGAAAATAAATCCCAGATCTCGCTTTTACCCCTACCTAATTTAACATGTAGTATGTATTTCTGAAGTATATGAACATTTCTTACCTAATCACAATGCCACTTGAAACCTAACAAAATCAACAATTTCCCAACTGTCTCAAAAAAGTCTTATAATTGACTTGTTTGTTTGAATTGATACCAGACAGTACATTTGGTTACTACTTAAGTCTTTCAACCATGAGTTACTCTCCTGTCCCCCAATTCCTAGCACTGCCTTGTTTAAGAACGGGACCAGTAGTGGTTCTACAGAATGTCCCCCATCTGGATTGTCTGTTTGCTTCCTCATGGTATCATCTAACTTGTGTCTCTATTTCTAATAGTTCCTGTAAACATAAATTCAGCATCAAAAACTAGTTTGTAATTTGGGTTTAGGCTCAGTTTTTTCTTGGCAAAAAACATTCCACAGGTGAGACTGTGTGCTCCACACCACCTCACATCAGGAGGTGCAGGTGCCTTTGAGATGCAAAGACTTTTCAGTGGCTCTGGCCCGTGTGACTCAGCTGGTTGGGAGTCGTCCCATGTACCAGAAGATTGCAGGTTCGATCCCCAGTCAGGGCACATGCCAAACCGGGCTTGATCCCCAGTTAGGGTCATGCAGGAGGCAACTGATAGATGTTTCACGTTCACATTGATGTTTCTCTCTTCCTCTCTCTATCCCTCTCCCTTCCTCTCTAAAAATCTTTTTTTTTTAAAGTACTCATCAGTAGGTTTGGGTGGCCAGTTTCCATAACTTTTCCACTTTAGCCAGTTGGCTTACTAATGTTTCTGAAGTTTTGCCAGAGAAACAACTTGTGGAGGAGGACATAAGTTGAGAGTGTCCATGAGAAGCTATCCAAAGATAAGCTATGCTTCAAACCAGACATTCACCTCCACAACCAGCCCAACACAGAAAGAGTTCACCACAGGGCCATACCTAATTCAAACTTGAGTTCTAGGTCAGTGGTCGGTACCTTTCAGGTAGATGAGCCCCCTTGGTGTTAATTACTTTGAAAACCCAACTAATAACCAGGAAGACACCTTCCCCAGGGAAAGCCAGGCCTGCTTGCTCACATATATTGCTATAGGTTTCGGCTGAAGAAAATGCAAGAATGGAACCAGGCAGAAAAGGGCCACCTCTCAGATCCCTTCCAACTTAAAATGTCTAAAATTCCTAGAAAAATGTAAAAGCAATTCTGATACTGGGGTTTGCTTCTCAAGGCTGGCAGGGGAGGTAGATAAATCCTCTGAGGTTTACGTGAGTGTTCTAACCCAGATGGAGAGGTTTCTGTTCAAGGCTGGGAAGAAACCAGCCTGCTCTCTGGACAGAGAGCAACACCAAGTCGTTCTGTAAATAACCTGCCCCAAGATCCCTTTCTCAGGCTCTGAGTCTAGAACATTAAAATGTGATGGCCTGGATGCTCTTCCTAACACTAAGGGTGTCTATCTGCTTCATCCAGTGGCACAGGCGAAGTTCAGATCCGTTCACCTGAAACCTGTGCAGGTAAACATTGAACAGCACTGCACTTGAGGGCCACAATCTAGAAGGTACTCAGTGCCAACTGCTGATACTTTGCTGCAGCAGAAATTCAATGTCAATCCTGGCATCCCTCTCTCCAGGTCACGTTTCTGCCCTGAGACACATCGCAAGCTGATGTACTGCAATTTGCTTAATATACTTGCTGCTCCTTCCTGGTTGCTCCCGTAAGGCTCCCAAGGACCAGGACATGTCTTGCTCTCCATATGGGGCCCAGGCAGGGGTCCTGGCAGGTGCTAAGGCTACTCATCCACAGCAGGAAGGGGGTGCAGGTCCCTGCAGACCATGAAGTGTGCTAGATCCACACTGCCTCCTGAGCCAGAGGTCTCCGTCTGAGGTCTGGCCTCAGGTGATGCTGAGAATGCAGTGGCAGCCTCATAGCTAGAACCACCTTGGAGCAGAGGCCCACCAAGGGCACCATCCACACCACACGCTTCCCAGAAAATGATACTTGGCTGGCTCACTGTCCAAAGACCCAGCTGCTGGGGCTTTCGGGGCGCTGGTGAAAGCACCGAGCGTGAGGCCAAGGCTTTACCTTTTGCTTCAAATAGCTCATTCTGAGGTCCTTTAGCACTTTCCGCTTCTTCCTCTGACTTGAGACTCTGCACAAAAAGGAAAAGAGGACATGAGTCCCCCGAGGAGGAGGCAGTGGGCAGAGCAGGAGTAAGTAGACAGCATATCTTGGGATGGGTAGGGATGACTAAGGAAGAGGAACAGCATCCTGGTGAGACGCAGCAGCTCCAAATAAAACCCCACCCTGCAGGGTGGCCCTCACACACAGACAGTAGTTCACAATAAAAACACAGTCAAGCCGAAACCGGTTTGGCTCAGTGGATAGAGCGTCGGCCTGCGGACTGAAAGGTCACAGGTTCGATTCCGGTCAAGGGCATGTTCCTGGTTGCGGGCACATCCCCAGTAGGAGGTGTGCAAGAAGCAGCTGACCAATGTTTCTAATATAAGTGAAAATTTGAAGAAGAATAAGATATTTAAATAGTCAAAATATCTCCCTTTTGATTATTTATGAATTATAAATTCATATAAAATTTTAATGTTTTACAATTGCAATTATAATTTTACAGTGTAAAAACCCAGTAGTAGGAAAAAATAAAAATAAATAAATAAATAAATAAAATAAAAACACAGTCAAGAGCTTGTCCCAGGAGAGGCAAGATGGCTGCAGAGTAACTTGAAGCTACATGCCTCACGGTAGAGCATGGATGAACCTGGAGAGTATTATGCTAAGCAAAATAAGCCAGTCAGAGAAAAACAAATACCACATGATCTAACTAATAAGCGGAATCTAATGAACAAAATAAAACAATGAACAAAATGGAACCGTAAGCATAGACATGTGGAACAGACTGGCCAGTGCCTGAGTGGGGGGGGTGGGGGGGGGAGGATTGGAGGGGACTGGATAGAGAAGGTGAAGCGATTAGCTAAAGAACATATATGCATAACCCATGGGCACGGACAACAGTTTGGTGAAGTCCAAGGGAGGGAGAGGAGGGCAAAGGATGGGGGGTGGGGGAGGACACTGAATAATGTCAACATCAAACATTTAAGAACAAAAATAAAAGAGCTCATACCCTACCTAACTGAAGAGAAAACCGCTCCCCCAACCAGCACCTCTTTAAGAATAGCCCTGCAGCTGGTTGATGCTTCTCTCTCATCGATGTTTCTAGCTCTCTATCCCTCTCCCTTCCTCTTTGTAAAAAATCAATAAAATATATATTTAAAAAAATTAAAAAAAAAAAGAATAGCCCTGGAGCTTTGATTAACGTTGCATCACAGGACAGGATCTCAACTTGAGGTTTGAAGGTCCTCAACTCATCCCTCATCACCCATATCATTTCTGCAAACAGTCGGAGGAGAGCAGGCCTCCCTGTCCCTGCAAGAGCTCCGTGGACAGCACGGTGCATAGCAAGCATCTGACACCTGGGTGCCCTTTGAGAGCTGCATCCTGAAGGGGGAGGCCCATCAAGAAACTCCTGACTCGAGCAAAAACCTCATGTTTTGTGACCCGGGCAGCTGACCACAACATCAAAGTTTGCTTTTCACAGGTGCCGTGTGTCCTGTGATGGATTCTGGAATGAGTACTGGTTACCAAGACTCGGCACTCCTCAGAGCCAGGACTGAGCTGAGGGCGGGAATGTAGGAGCAGTGGTATGTCCATTTTCAACCCAACTGACAACCTTAAAAGCAATGTCCCCATGTTCTAGTTCTAGAGATCAAAGGGGTTTTGAGAAGTAGAAGAGCACCACAAAGATGCTCCAACACAGCCCTCCATCCATGAGGGCCAAGTTAAAAATAGGATAAAAAGGCAAATGTGTGGGATTTGTTGGTGGGGATCGCAATTCCTATTTGTTTGTTTTCTTCTTTGTCTCAATAAATGATGAGCATATAAAAAAGTTAATCTGGGGGTCCAGGGCCATCTTATTAAAGATAAGACCCCATATCACCCATCTGACAGAAGTGTCATCACAGAGAGCAGGAACCAGGAACCTTCTTGAACCCTTGAAAATAGGTCCAATTGCCCTAGCTGGTTTGGCCCAGTGGATAGAGCGTTGGCCTGCGGACTAAAGGGTCCCAGGTTCGATTCCGGTCAAGGGCACATGCCTGGGCTGCAGGCTCTATCCCCAGTAGGGGGAGTGCAGGAGGCAGACGATCAATGATTCTCTCTCATCATTGATATTTCTATCTCTCTCTCCCTCTCCTTTCCTCTCTGAAATCAATAAAAATATATTAAAAAGAAAATAGGTCCAATTAACTCTCTCAGGCTGTGGATCTGCCCTGTGGACCTGAAGCCTATGAGGCTCCTGCAGCCCAAGTCCTGGGTCAATCCCTGAGCCGCAGTGAACAGCTCAGGGAGACTGGGAGCTAGAGCCAGCTCCCAAGGCCCCAGAGGATCTGGCACGTGCTCGCCAAGCTGTAAATGCATGGCTGGGATATTCTAAGTGCTCGAGGCAGGTGGGACGGTGGGCTTGATACATCCAAATTCCTAACCCTGCAGCTGCACCAGAAAACACCTTCTTTTTTGTATCCTTGGCCAATTACCACTTCACTCCTGTGAAACCATAAAAATAGTCTTCTTGAAAGGTGGTGGTGGTGAGCAGGGAAAGGAGAGAAACCAGCGATTTGAGTACAAGCTCTCTACCACCCCACTGTCTGAATTCCCCGCAGACAAGCAGGCCTAAAACACCTCAGGAAGAAATGTCATTATCCAAAGTGCAGTGTCTTGGTGAC